AGCAGCCAGGCCAGTCCACAGGGGGAGAACCATGCGCACTTGCTTCTGGCCCGAGGACTCCGTGCTCCAGGTCAATTGTGCCATTGTGGTGAGTTATGGGGCTGCTGGAGTGCCCAGTTGGCCTACCTGGGGCAGGTGCAGCCTCTGGCTCTGCTCCTGCTGCCCCCCAGTGAGCTCCTGGCCAATCACTTGATGGTACTCCTGTGCCTGGACCATGGACAAGTGGAAATGCCTAGAAGAGTGGCAAGAGCAGCTCCTTGGATGGGAGAAGTAAGACCCGATCTCAGACTTGAAAGATGATGAATCTCTGTCAAGTGACAAGAGTGGTGCTGTTCCCACCGGTGTCGGAGACTGGTGCCATGGTGGAGATGTCCACACTGTGGCAAACATAGCCGGGCTGTTTTTTCATTAGAGCCCCTTGACTATGGAACTTAACATTTATTGAGCTTCTGGTTATGCTACAAGGCTCATCTATTTTTAATTCTTCTGTAGAAGGAGGAGGTGACTGAGAGTTGGTATATTAGGGATAATGTGTATTTTAAAACTATTTTTTTATTTTTGGGTTTTTGTTTTGGGGTTTTTTTGCACTAAGCAGAGAAGCTGAATCTATGTATTTTGTCATGTACATTTTTTAAAAGGTGTACACAGCAGGGGAGAGGTATTTTTCTTTTAATTATGTATAAAACCAATATAAAGTACAACATTTTACAAATGGGATAACTGAGGCATATTAGGCTAACAATAATACCTTATTAGCATTTATTTTAACTTCTGTTTTAAAATGAAAAACCAGAAGTAATAAAAGATAATTAAAACTTGCCTATGAATGACAATATGCCTTGATGGAGGACAGCCAACAAAAAAATGAGTTAGCTGAAAAGAAATACATTATATTACATACAGATCTATATTGTGACAAGATGGCCTATGTTCGTATGGTGGGTCCTGCACTTTTCTTGGGGGCCTAAGACACCACCCTTTGCCCCTGCTCTTGTGTGCTGAAGGCCCCGCTAGTGGCCCGGGAAGGTGGTAGAGGAGGGAAGCGGGGGAGGGATCTGGGTTTGCTCCTCGCTCTGAGTCCCGGCCGCTCTCAACCCCTGTGGGTCTTACCCTCTTCCCCCTTGGGTGGGGTTACCCTCGGTCCTTAGACGCTGGAGGAGGGAGTCGTCCTTACTTCGGTTCTCTGGTCTTTGAGATCTCACAACACACTTCCAAGCTCCAGTTCTCTCTCCTTCCTCCTCCTACTCTGACTGCCCGAAGCAGGGGGTTTTATTAGGTTCCTGATAGGGCCTTAATTGACTACAGGTGCTCCAATTAACTTGTAGCAACCCTCCCTAGTCTACAGGGAACCACGCCTTAATTAGCCTAGGGCTTATATATTTCCCCTCGACCACTGCTCCCTGGCCCTCCTGTATCACAATATATATATTATTGTATATACTACCATATACATAATTAATGTACATCTACTATATACATAATTAATTTACATAAAGTTAACCAATGAAAAAAGGTCAGGCTGAGCCGTGATGGATTTTAGCACAGAGTTACATACATGCATATGTACAAACAGGGTAAGTCAATTTGATATATGAGTCAAAATATATATCTGTTGCAATACAAATTGCAGTGTATAAATGTTTATGCTTTTTTATCATTAAAAGACAAGTCTTAAGCCTAAAATGTTTAATATCCTTTTATTATTAAAAAATAGTTCAATTATATAAGTTGATTCCAACTGTCTAAGAGCACATTTGAACTATTTGGATAATCAGTGATTTGAATTATGAGGAGCTCCACTCCAAAAGCTTAAAAGTTCCACAGGAGCTTAGCTTCAGAAGCCTTGAGGAACTTTTGAGCTTTCCAAAAATGGGCCTTTGTCCTCAGGACTTGAGGAGTCCGAATGGAGGCATTGATGCTAATGGGGGCCAGCAACTTCATCTAGATATAGGGGCAACTCTACCTCTCTCTATGGCTTCCTCCTTGTCAAGGACACAACATCACTTTCCCCGTCTTGAACACTTTCTCACCAGCACCCTGCTGTGAACCCTCCCTCTTCTGCAGCTCTACTTAGGCAGCATACAGAAACCTTTGGAAGATATAACCTTACTTTAGTTAACTGGAGCCACATTCATTAGCATTTATAGCCTAAAGATGAAATCCTAGCCCCACTGAACTCAGCTGTAAAACTCCCATCAATATCAATGGGATCAGAATTTCGCCATAAGAATCTAAGATGTAACACCACCATATTTTAGCCAGATAAGTTTCTCAAGATACAAAACTTACCTTATTGTTTGTTGCACACATTTTTGCAGACCTACTAGGTTGTAGTTCAACTGTCATAACACCTGTGGATGCAATTCTACATGGGACCCCCCCCCCCCCCCCAAGCAAGAATTAATATTAAGATTTACATACGTTTGAAAATAAATCAGTAATAGCATTTAACTAACTAAACTAAGGGTATATCTACACTGTAAATTGTAATAAAAAACCCATGGCTGGCCCATGTCAGCTGACTCAGGCTTGTGGGACTATAAAATTGCAGTGTAGATAGCCAGGGTTGGGCTGGAGCCTGGGCTCTGAGACTCCTCCCCCCCCCCCCCCCCGAAGGGTCACAGAGCACGGGTTCCAGCCTGAGCCTAGATGTCTACACTGCAAATTTAGAGTACATCAGCCGAAGCCCTGCAAGCCCATGTCAGCTGACATGGGCCGGGCGTAGGAGTTTTATTAAAGTGTAGACATACACTAACTAACTAAACTAACTACACAATTGCAACTATAGCAAGGTATTTGTTTGGCGGCAGTAGGCTATTTAAATCATTTGTATTTTAAGGATGCTTTGCTGTGTCGTGGTAGCCGTGTTTGTCCCAGGATATGAGAGAGACAAGATAGGTGAGGTAATATCTTTTACTGGACCAAAGTTTTTGGTCTGGGACAAGTTTTTGAGCTTTACAGAGCTCTTCTTCAAGTCAGGGGAAGTTAACAAAAGTGTCTCAGCTAAATTCAAGTTGGAACAGATTGTTAAGCATAAGGGGTTCACATCTACTGTAGGAGATTGCTTAAAATGAAGTGGGCAGTTAAGGGTTAGCAGGCAGTGCAGTGTGTTACAAATTGTTGTAATGTGCCATAAAACCAGTGTCTCTGAGTCCATGGTTTTAGTGTCTAGCAGAGTTATGAAATTAAGTTCCTAGGCTTGCCTTTTGAAGGTATTGTACAAGCACATAATAACGGATATGTCTACACTGGAGCTGGAAGGTGTAAATTCCAGGAGAGGAGACATACCCACCCTAACTCTGATCAAGCTACTGTGCAAAAATAAAAGTGTAGCTGTTGCAACGTCAACAAAGACAAGTCGCTCTGAGTGTGATCTCACCTAAGAACCTAAGTCCATACTTGGGTCAGCTAGCCCCTCTTTCTGCTTGCACCGCTGTGGCTACACTTCTCTTTTTAGCATGCTAGCTCAATCGGTGTTAGTGTGGGTATGTCTCCATGAGCTGGAATTTACACCTTCCAACTCAAGTACAGACATACCTAAACTGATGGTGCCTGCCCCAAAGTACTTAAAACCTAAGCATAAAAGACAATGTGTGGGTAGAGACAGACAGGGAAGCACAAGGAAATAATAAGACAATACTTGTAGGCATGAGAAGGCAGTGGTTTCAGCATACCAGCTGCCTTACCATTATCAAGTTTTTTGTAGGCATGACAGCAAAGGAGAATTTTAGAGAAGGATTTAAAAGGAGGACAATTAGGTTGCTTTGCAGAGGTTTACGGGGAGCTCCTCCCATATGTGAAGGGCAGTATGGGAGAAAACACAAAGGTGCTTGTTTGAAAATTTAAGAAGCTGAAAAATGGAGGCTGGCACCATTAGCAGAGGAGAGGTGGAAGTCACATCTTGAGAGCACATCAGAGATGACAGGTAGGGTGCAGATAAGTGGTAAAGGGCCCTGAAAGCAAAAGCAAGTAGCTTATGTTTGAGGTGACAGAGAAAGAGGAGCCATTGGAGGGGATGCAAAGAGAAGGTGACAGAGAAAAAGCAAAAAGCTAGGAATATGATCTTTGTAGCAGTGTTTGGAATGAATATAAGTGGGACAAGACTGCATTTGTCACAGACAGAGGGTAGGAGGTAGCAATAGTTGAGATGATGAAGGCCTTGCCAAGTGTTTTTGCTGTGTGGACAGAGGAAGGCTGCATCTTAGAGATATTATGCAAGAAGAAGAAGCAAGATTTACACAAGCCTGTGAGAATCTAGAGAGAGGGCCAAGTAAAAGAAGACATACACGCCTAAGTGATAGGAAGATGGTGATGTTGTCCACGGTGACTGAGAAATAGGTAGCAGGGAGGGATTGCGGGGAAAGATTAAGAGCTCTGTTTTGGCCAGGCTGATCTTAAGCTAACTGCTAGACATTCATGAGACATCAGAGAGACAGCAGGGCCAGCTCCAGCATTTCTGCCGCCCCAGGCAAAAAAAAAAAAAAAAACGCGATCGGCGGCGGCAATTGGAAAAAAAGAAAAAAAAAAGCCGCGAGCGGCGGCGGCAGTTCAGCGGCAGGTCCTTCGCTCCTAGAGGGAGTGAGGGACCTGCCGCCCCCAAATTGCCGCAGGTACCACCCCTCTCCCTTGGCCGCCCCAAGCACCGGCTTGTTAAGCTGGTGCCTGGAGCCGGCCCTGAGAGACAGGGTGAGATTTTAGAACTGGGGCCTTAGTTACATTATTGTATCATAAATCAGATGCAACTCCATTGAAATCAATGAGATTATATTGTGTACATTAGATTAAAATCAGGCCCACCTTCTTAAAATAAAATTGAAATATATAACTTTACATTTCAAAAGCAAAGCAGATAAAATCAGTTAACACTTGTATTGAGCTCTATGGATTTAAAACACTTTTAATTTATACTAAATCAGAACCAATGGACTGTGATATTCAATATATGTATAAATTACCATCTACATCATCTTAAGTATCTTTAACAAATACACAGTACTTACAATGCGTCTGTGTAATTAGGTTCAAGGCTGTAGTCCATTTTATGGTAAAATTTCATTGTCTAAAAGAGACAGAATGACGAGGAATGATAATTAGGAAAAATCCTTTAAAAATCTTTGCTTTGATCACGGACATTTTCATGATAGACAGAGCACACCTTACAAAAGATGAGCAGGGATGAAGACCAGCATCAGTGGGCTCTGTCTAGTAAAGCACCTATCACAACAGTATATATGGCATAATATCTAGCACTAAAGATACTATTTCAGTGGGCTCTTTGGGTTCCTGGTGAAGGTCTGAAACATTATGAGCTCACCAGTTTGTTATCTCTTCTGAATTATATAAAGAACACTAGCTTGTTTTTCACACTACCCAGATAAGGATCTGATGAAATGCAATGAAAGTTATTGTCTTCTTACTGAATAAATGTATAACAAATATTAAAAAAACAATCTTTTCATTGGTTTCAGAGTAGCAGCCGTGTTAGTCTGTATCCGCAAAAAGAACAGGAGTACTTGTGGCACCTTAGAGACTAACAAATTTATTAGAGCATAAGCTTTCGTGGGCTACAACCCACTTCTTCGGATGCATACAATCTTTTCATTGTATGTTATTTGTGAAACAAACAACAATCAGTTTGTTTTACAACGTTCAAAAAAATGAACAAACTCAGTCTTAAATTTCCTCTTAGGGCTTGTCTGTGTACTACAGGGGTGTGATTTCTAAAGTGTACTAATGTGTTGTGCATTAACTGGTCCATGTAGGCCCTGCTGGTGCACACTAAAGGTTCCCTAGAGTGTTTTAACATAGTACTTCATTAAAGTGCATGAGAAACTTTTAGTGCGCACCAGCAGGGTCTACATGGACCAATTAATGCACAACACATTAGTACATTTTAGAATTTGCAACCTGGTAGTGTTCATTTCCCACTGTGTAGAAAAGCCCTTATTCAAATAAGGCCCTTTACTAAATCAGTCCCTTTCCTCTCTTGGGGAACAAGCTTCTTTAAAGCTCCATCCCCTAACTTGTAAATATACTTCTGCAAAGCTACAAGATATTTGGCTTCCAATAACTTGTGGTGACTCCCATAATTCAGATTCCAAAACTAGTTCCTTTTCTTACTAAACTAGAAAGCTAATAATTATATTTAAACTGCAAAGATTATTTTTTATTTAATATATCTAATATAGCAGAAAATTAAGGGCTGATTCATCTTGGATTTATGCTGGCAAGAGCTGTCATGGCCTCAACAGCAGCAAATCTGCCAGGGAAGGAAATTGTGGGGATGGGAAGCGGCTCCTCCCCCACCCTTGAACACCCCCCAGCCCCACTCTATTGCCCAAAGAAAGCAAAGAATGGAAGTCTATATGAAGATATATACTGCAAAGTATGCTAAATATATTGTAGTTAGAAAGCAAATTGTATTGTATACAGGGACCATTTTAATATAACGTACCTGGTTTTTAGTACAGATTCCACGAGCTATTTCATAATCGACATATGTTGTCTGCATCAGCAATTCAGGCCTGTAGATTTCCACATCTGTGGATAAGCCCAGATTCTCCATATAGACTATTTGAGCCCAAAATGTCACTTCATCTCCCATGTCCAGGTAATAGACATTTAAATCCATGCTGTGCTTAAATACTAGATATGGGCAAATATCTTGAAAACTATGTATGTAACTAAACATTTCAGTTTTCAAGGGATAGTCCTCACGGTATATACTAGAACCATTGATAAACAGCATATATAGGTTACCAGAAGGATTCAAGTAAAGGACTATGCTTTTGCTTTCCTTTTCCCATTCAGGGAGCTCCACAGCATCTTTCATTTCAACTTTAAAAAAAATCATCATATTGTTTTTCATCTTTATCACAATGTTCCCGAAATAGTCTGCAGGAAGGAAAAAGAAGAGTCATCTTTACCTGTGTCGTTTAAATTTCCATACCGATGATGAAAATACGAATTCTTTAAAAAAATATAGATTTGTTTTTCTATTTCTATTGTACTTTCCACAAACATAGGTATTTGTTCCTAGCCAAAATTTCTCCTGCTCATTATATTGTCATGCAGTGTGATCTGTGCCTTTTGGGTGCTGTCCTCTAACACACAGATGAAGCTGTAAGTGTCTAAATAATGAAGTGCTTTAGGATCGTTCAGGATGAAAAGTGCTGCATGTGAGCTGGGAATGAGGGAGACTGTGTGGAGGTGTGAAAAAGAGTAGGAGTGAACAACCAGGTTTCTGTGACCATGGTGATACAGAGATGAGCAACACCTGGTTCACATTTTCTTCACAAACATGAAGATACAAGTTTTTATTTTTTTAATTAATGAAAGATTAGATACTGTGCATCCATTCGTCATCAAGTATATTTGATAATGAACATTTTTGTCCATCACAGAGTGGTTACTTACCTTACAGTAACAGTGGTTCTCTGAAATATGTACTTCACATGGACCCCTCTCAATGTGCATACACCCTATGTGTGTGAGACTGAATTCTCTAGGGCAGCTGCATGTATTCAGGTCATGCCTGTGCTCTGGATGTCCTCATGCCCCCCAACGCTGAGGGCGAAGTAGACCAAAACATCTCTGTTCCTTTGCCAATACACTATCTCAGAGCAGTAGGATTCTGTACTGGCAGAAGAGGAGGGTAGGTTGTGGAATCCATGTGGATGACACATTTTGAAGAACCATAGTTATTGTAGAATGAATAACCATTTTTTCTTTTTTGAATGTTTGTCCACATGGATTCCACTCTTGGTGATTCACAGCAGTTGCTTTTTTATTTGGAGGTGTGTACAAGGAGTTCCACTTAAGCAATGATTAAAGGACAGCCCTACCAAAATGGACTGATCTGGAAGCCTCTACCAAAGAGCAATATCTTGTGAATGTGTGGACCAAGCTCCACATAGCTCCCTCAAAATTTCAGAGATAAGGACATTCTTCAAATAGGCAGCAGAGTCTGCCTGGGTGATAGTGGAATGAGCTCTAATGTGGCTAGGTGGCTGTAACTTGGCTAGTTTGAAACATGCACTTATATAGACACAGACCAATTTTGATAATCTCTGTGAGGCTATTGCCTGACCCTTAATCCTATCAACAAAGGCTGTAAACAGTCTAGGCATATTCTTGAATGATTTTTGTCTTGTTCAGGTAGTATGACAGTACCCTTACTACATCAAGTACATGAAATTAAGTTTTCCCTGGGGTTGAGTCAGGTTTGGGAAAGAAAACTGGACGATGAATAAACTGTTACATATAGAACTCAAACAGTTTTGGGCAGAAACTTGGGATGAGTGCTGAGAGTAACCCTGTCCTTATGAAACACTGTTTATGGGGGACCTGCTATGGGGGTCTGAATATCCCCTACTCTTCCAGCTGATATAATGGCCACTAAAAAAAGCAGTCTTCATTGATAAGTGGTATAGGAAACAAGATTTAAGGGCTCAAAGAGGAGACCTATCAACCTTGTTAATACTACATTGAGGTCCCAACAGAGAGGGGCTCCTAAACTGGGGGGGGGGGGAATATGACTAACGTCCTCAAGGAATTGCCTTAAGGTCCTGGCCAACTATAGATTGAGAAAATACAGAGTGGCCCTGGATAGAAGGGTGATTTGCAGATATTGCTACTAGATGGACCTTATGGAACTAACAGGCCAGATTATTTCAGGGCAAGTAAATAACAAAATACTGCTGAAATGGGTGTTGTCAGGGGAGACGACTCATGCTAAGATGCCTACATAGAAAACCTCTTCCACTCAGCTTTATAAGTCACTCTAGTTGAGGCTTTCCCCTTTGGAGTAGAATGTTCTGAACTTTTCTCGTGCATGTAAGCCAGCCTGGATCCAGGCTGTTAGATGTAACAATGCTGGGTTTGGGTGCAGGATCTGACCATTGTTCTGCAAGACTATGTTGGGCAGAGTAGGCTAAGTGATCGAAGGCTGCGCTAAGAGGTTCACCAGATCCAAATGCCAGGACTGCTGGGCCCATCATGATTATTGATCCAGCATCTTGCCTCAGTTTCCTCAGGAATCCTGGGGATCAGTAGGAAGGCATATATCAGTTTTGGTGTCCAGAGGATGAGAAAGGCATCTGATAGGGACCTTGGACTGGAGCCTCTTCTGGAGTGGAATGCTTGGCATTTCTTGTTCTGGTCTGTGGCAAATAGGTCTTTGACAGGCATCCCCACTATAAGCTTTGCAATACTGGATCCCTGATTGACCATCAGAGTTGTCTGAGAACTGTCTATTGAGGTAATCTAGTAGTGAGTTCTGCACACCTGGAAGATGTAGAGCCAACGACATGATCCGGTGACGAATATACTAAGTCCAGAGTCAAATGGCTTTCTGACAAAGCAGAGAGAACCTGACTCCTCCTTGTCTATTGACATATATATAGCCATGGTGTTATCTGTCACCACTTGGATTGTGGCTCTCTGGAGTTGAGGAAGGAATGCTTTGCATACCAGGCAGATAGCTCTGAGTTCCAGGACATTTATGTACAAACTTCTTGAGTCAACCTGCGTCTGAAGATGATATAGATGAGCTTGTGACGTTGCACTCCATATGTTTTATGGAAATAGGCTTATGAGTGTGAATATGATGTAACTGGAATATGTTTTATGAAAAAGGTCTCTTGTAAGGTATCATAACAAAGGTCATAACCTACTGAATATATTCCTCCTATTTGTATGTATGTATCATTCTAGTATCTGAAGATAGAAATATGAAGTATAACTCTGAGGTCCTATTGTAATTATGCAAAGTGTGGGCCATTAATGGTGGTTTAGAATCTTGATGGCTCCCATTGACTAGGACAATTGGTTGTAAATGGCTCTGTTTACTTACAAACCTTTCTGTGTACGTGTTGGCTAGCCCAGGAAGAATGGAGGCTGGGGTCTCACAGGACATGTCATCGTGTCACCTGATACTGGAATCCATCTTAAATCTGGTACTTTTCCATTTAGAAGGAGGAGTGGGGACCCAGAGAGACAAAAGATTCCTGCCTTTTACCAAAGCTATAAAAGGGGGTGGAACAGAACAAAGGGGTTGCCAATCATGAGAACACCCCTGCTTTCCACCTAAGACGTCTGCTGGAACTAACAAGGACTGTACCAGGGGAAAGGACTGGGTCCAGACTAGGAAGGAGTCTAGTCTGTGAAAGAAGTTTATTGGAATATCTCTGAGGGTGAGATTTTACCTGTAATCAGTTTCTCAATGCATTAGGCTTAGACTTGCGTGTTTTTGCTTTATTTTGCTTGGTGACTTACTTTGTTCTGCCTGTTATTACTTGGAACCACTTAAATTCTACTTTTTATATTTAATAAAAACACTTTTGTTTGTTAATTAACCCAGAGTAAGTGATTAATACCTGGGGAAGCAAACAGCTGTGCATCTCTCTCTATCAATGTTATACAGGGTGGACAATTTATGAGTTTACCTTGTATAAGCTTTATAAAGAGTAAAACGGATTTATTTGGGGTTTGGATCCCATTGGGAACTGGGTGTCTGAGTGTTGGAGATAGATGACCTGCTGAGCAATTTTCGATTAAAGTCTGCAGCTTTTGGGGCGTGGACCAGACCTGGGTCTGTGTTGCAGCAGGTTAGCGTGTCTGGCTCAGAAGGCAAGGTTCTGGAAGTCCCAAGCTGGCAGGGAAAACAGGCTCAGAGGTAATTCCAGCACATCAGGTGACAGTCCAAATGCGGTTTCTGTGACTGAACCCATCACACAGCTCTTCATCCTTGGAGGCATTTATCAGAATCTTGGTAGGCAGACATGTAAAGAAGGGTATTTCCTTTAACACCTGAAGTAGCCTTTTCCCACAAGTTTAAAAAGGAGAGGATTCCTTGTGGGACTGTGACCATCATGTCCATGTAGTGCCTGCTGGGTAGATAAACTGATTCCAACCACCTTTACATGAAGCATAGGTGAAGTCTGGAAAACTGTGTCACATAGATGCATGAGGCCATATGTCCGATGTGCCTTTGGCATGCTCTTACATATGCCTTTCGGTAAGCCTGAAGTTGGCTGATGAGGTCCAATATAGTTTGGAATCTTTCTTGTGGAAGATAAGCTCTTGCTTACCTGGAATCTCATACGGCTCCTATGAACTTTATGCTTTGTATCAGACGTGTGGATTTTTCTCTGGCTTTGAGGCCTAGTATGGCAAAGAGCTTGAAGGTTACTTGCTCCGAGTTGATTACCTCATATGGTAGCTCCTTGGATCAACTATCAATAGGATATGGACAGACCTGGATTCCTTATCTTCTTAAGTGAACTGTTATGACTGCCAAATACTTGGTGAATAACCTTGGTGCTACTGAAAGATCAAAGGGCAGGACCCTGTATAGATAGTGAGATGTTCCTGGTAGGAATCAGAGGATATTTCTTGTGAGCAGATGTATGCTGTTGAGATGTCAAAGGTCCAAAATAGGCCACCAGCCCCTTTTCTCCTTTAGAAAATAAAGGGAATAAAACTCCCTGCCCCTGAACTCTAAGGGCCTCTCTTCCATTGCTCTGACATGCATGAAGCAAGAGACTGCACCTCTTGTTTCAACAGTATTTTGTGACAGGGACTGTTGAAGGACAGGGATGATGGGTGGTAGATAGGACGGGACTGAAATTGTATGCAATAGACGTTGCTGACATCTCTTGGACCTACTGTGCCATAGTGAACCTACTCCAGGCTTCCTGAAAAAATAATAGCAGTTGCCAAAATGGGGGAAAAGGGGTAGAGATCCTCCAAAAGTTCTACTAGGCTCTAGACTGGGGTGTGAAAATTGCTGTTGAGAGGAAGACATCAGGTGCACCATAGCTGAGAAAGAGGTGATGGGTCATCTGTGTTGAAACATTTGCTTATCCCTTGGTAGCTCCAATGCCCCCTGTGGGTTTGTGAGTTGCTGGGCTGTCTCTCTAGCCCACGAAGGACTCACTTCTATGCCCAGAGTCTTTCAGGCCCTTCTTCCAGAGCACTGCTTTATTGATATAACAAAACTTGCAAAGTAACACAAAACTCACATCAAAGCTGGATGCTGGGACTCAAAAGCCTTTCATTCTGCTTCCCTCTCTCTGTTCCAAGGCTAGTCACAGGAGACAACCTTGCTCTTTTAGACCCCACTCCCTCTCAGCTGAGTCTTCTCAGCCCTTTATAGAGAACACTTGACCCCTTCCCAACTGGATCTGATAATTGAAAAGGGCTGGCTGGCCCCAGACCCCTTGGCCCTTAAAGGGGAAGACCATCCAATTACAGGTTTATAATAGTAAGGAGCAGAGGGATGCTGTCTGAAGGAGGTTTGAGGTCCAACTTGCTTCCTCCTTGGGGTTGGAATGTGCAAGTCCAGAGAATGTGAAGTGGCTCTAAAGTCCCTTAGTGAGTTGAGGGCTTCCTAGCTCTTTGAATTGAAGAGGCTGCAGCCCTCGAATGGAAGATGTTTTGCTATGGTTTGGCTCTCCTTGTATATTCCTGCTGACTGGCGCCAGGAGGATCATCGTATTGCTACCTATCTGGCTATGGTACAGATTTAGCCATGACACTGTTTCAGATGCATCCAAAATAGTCTATAGGGATGTTCTAGACATCAGTTGCCCCCTGAACATGATTGATTTTAATTCTTCTGTGTGCTCCTGTCAGAGCCTTTCCATAAAACTGAGAAAATTTCTTCCAATATAGACTGAAGTGCCTGGTCAATAATGTGCATCTGGAGAATGGCAGAGGAATCGGGTATTTTGCTGTGCACACCCAGTCTCTTTTTCACTGATGTCTGCTTGGATCTTTCGTGAACAGCCACTATGAGTGAGCCAGGCACTTGATGTAAATAAAGTACACTGAGCCCTTAGGAGGAACTTGGTACTATCTATCCACCCTCTTGGAAGTGGCAGTTATTGATGCTGGACTCTGCCACAAGTCCTTTGCAGATCGTAACAATCCCTCATGAATAGACATGGCAAGTCTACCAGACATGGAAAGGAGCAGAATGTCTAGTAGTTTGTGTGACTTCTCTTGCACTAATTCCAGTAGGATGTCAAAGGTTTCAGCCATGTGTTTCATCATCAGGTCTTGGAAGACCTTAAGTTGTCTGCAGTAGAGGATGTTGAGGGATTGGCTGCCTCATCAGGGAAGGATGACAAAATTGCAGCTGGGAACAATTGTTCCTCCACATCTGCCTATTGATTGTTCTCACTCTTCAGGGAAAAGGAAATAATCCTAGAAAGAGGGTAGAGAATGTTGGCTTGCAGACACATGGCTGCCTACCCCAAGGCACCCAGTAGGGCTATGACTGATAAGTATATGGATACTGGACTGGTGGACACAGAAGAGGATACCAGGAGGGCTGCTCCCCTAAAGACCCATGCTTTCTCCCGCTCAAAGAGCAGTCTCTGGACTCCCTCCCTGATTCCCAGTGTGGCTGAACAGGTGAAGTAAATGGTACTGATGTCTCAACTGCTCTATATATCATGATTTTGAAGACTGAAAGCCTAGTTAGCACTGCTGACATTGTACGAGCCAGCAAGGACTTCACTACCGGACCCATGGACAGGTCACTTGGTGCTGAATACACCATAGATGGGTGCCGGGTACTGTAGGCATCAATGTGCTGCCTACCAAGGTGCTGGGTACTGTTGAGATGGTGCCAAATTGGTGTGGCCGTACTGAATGAATGGTGTGAGCATAACTTGACGTGACTTAAACGTGGCTGAAGAGGATCCTGGGAGCAGGCTCCCCTTCAAGCAGAAGATTTGATAAATTTAGGCAAAAGTCCCTAGCTTTCTGAGTTGACCTGGGAAAAAAACAGCAGATGGAGCAATGGTCAGGGATACACCCCCTTGCCTAAACAACAACAAAAAGGCACTTAAGAATACCTATCATTGAGTGGCATAGAAGCATCACACGAGGGGAATGTCTTATATCCCAGAGATTTAGCTTCCACTCAAGTCCCAGTAGCAGGAGCAGAGGGGCAGAGCTCCAAGTCTACTAATTATCTATTAAAAATGAATATTTTTTCCTTTTTAAAGCCAAGAAGCAAACTAAAAATTAACTACCTACCTGCAACTCTACTAACTAATCATGAACACTAACTGCAATAGCGTTACAGAGAAGCAGGCAGACACTGCAAAGAGTTCCAAATTGCTGCCACAGTTGGTAAGAAGGAACTGAGGATGGCTGGGCCCACTCTGCCCTTTATGCACTCAGGCTGTGGTGTGAGGGGGGCATGAGGGATCTGGCATGCAGGTGTGGCCCCAATGGATGCTGCTGGCCAAAAATAATCCAATGTTGCAAGCACTGCGCACATGCGCCCCAAGAGACGAATCCATGAGGACAATCACTTGAAGAAGAACAAATAGTTATGATGAATGAGGAGAAATACTTTTTTATGTTTGTCTTAAAGATTAGATTAGTGACTTGTGTTTAAATTCAGGTCTACACTAGAAAAAGTTTGCTTGCAGAGCTATACCAGCAAACATTCCTACTATAGATGCAGTTTATACTGGCAAAAAAGTACTTTTGTCAGTATAGCTTATCCTGGTTTCTTGAGAAAAATAAGCTATACAAATAAAAACATTTTTATGCCGGTATAACTGCACCTATACTAGGATTTTTGCCAGTATAGGAATGTTGTAAAATAATATAATCAATATCACACCCATAACATGTTATCATACTGGCAAAAGTTTCTAATGTAGACCCAGCTGAAGATTCTCAGCCTGTGAGAGAGAAAACCGGTGCTTTTTCAACTGCAATTATTATTTTTACCTAGAGGAATAGAAAGAGGTAAGACCAGGACAAATTTCTTAAAGGGCCCATTTTTAATTAGTTTAACTCAAACTAATGGACAGATTTATTTTAAAATTCTCAGAAAATCTTTATACAGAGTAAAACGGATTTATTTGGGGTTTGGATCCCATTGGCAGTTGGGTGTCTGGGTACTGGAGACAGGAGCACTTCTTAAGCTGTTTTCAGTTGAGTCTGCAGCTTTGGGGCACGTGGTTCAGAAAAAAAGGATGAACAGATCCAGAGCCCATGGAATTGTGGAAGTTGAACAGTCTAGGGCCACCAAGGGACCTTATTACAGAGCTCATGTGCCATAGGGGATTGCAACAAGAAAAATGTTGACACCTAACTTACTCCAGTAAATGTCCTGACATGGAAGGCTCACTGCAATGGCAAATGGAGATAAGATGCAATGAGCCTTCTTGGCACTGAATATCACAGATTCCTGCACAGCACAAGAAGTGTAAGGGCTTGAATACACAGATCTCAGCACCAAAGGGCACAAAGTTGGGACATCACCCACACCAGTTTCCTTCCACATTTAGGAACTACTGAATACACAGCCAGCTTTGGCACTGTGATTCCTCACCTTCCCCAATGCCAAGTGAGAATGGTGAAGGTCAAGTCAGAGTCATAACTCCTGTACTTTTTCTCTCTCCCACTGTTCAGAAGACAAAGTCTAGGCACCAGAAAGTCATTCTGTTCAACCTCTGCGCTCAATGCAGAGGAAACCTTAGCTCTAACTTTTTATAATCTGGTTTTGATAGAAATAGTCAAGGGATTTCTCTACACCAATTTTACTAAGCATGGGTGCTTACTTAAGGCAAATATAACTATGATGTTAAGGTGCCTTTCAATGTGAATGCAGTCAGACACTCAGCACCACACTTACTCAAGTTGGCCTTAAATTCTTCAGCAGTAAGAATTTAAGGCAGCACTCCCATCTCTAGACCTTTGGGGAATGGTATTGAAAAAGACATGAAGCTTCTGCCTATATTGTGCCTCACACTAAGGCATTTCAGCCATCAGACATGAACATCAATGTCTGACATTATGAAATTGCATAACACATTAGGCCTACGGCCAATCTTCTTGGTGGTGGCTAAGACAATAGAATCTACAGAATCAACTGTACCGTCAGTCAGAAGAAACTGTTTAGTGGGGCTGGACCAAAATAAAACTACCATGGCAGAGAGTGAATGTGTGTGTGTGTCGGGGGGGGGGGGGGAATGCCCAATGATGCCTACAATGGCACATAAAAGGTTTTTGTTTTTACTAATACTAAAAATACTAATAAGATGGGAAAATGATGGGAAAATGTGTACAAGATACTGTTAAATCCTTGTTTGTAGGGAATCAGAAGGAACTGAGGGGTGGTTGCAGTCCTTTATATTCTCTTGGTCTTGAGGAAGATCTTGTATTGCCCCAATAGATACTGTTGGCTAGAAGATTTCAAGCTTCCCTACTTGTGGCATGCAACTCTCAAGAATGGGGATCCATGTGGCAATACTTGAAGGGCAAAATTTTGTTAACTATAATTTAAATATGCCTATTCATCTAAAAATGGTTGATTTCAGTCCTTCTGAACCAATTAATTTAATCAAATACATAATTGCTATAATCATCTAGAAAAGAGATATCTTCAGGGATCCCCTTATTTCTGAAGTTGCTGTCTTACACCCAAATTATTATGTAATATACTTAACCAATAACCAGTTGGTGAATAGTGCTCCCTCGAGTTGCTTCCGATAGCTTCTGATTTAACCCAGATACTATAACAAATCCATTAATTGTGTTGTTTTTATAGCTATAATAGATCATTTCCTTGTTCCACATCAGCATAGATGGTGATGCTGAATATACAAATTCCATTCGCATAAAACCCTGGGGAGGAGCATTTAAGGAAAAGTCTCTTAGGACCCACAAATCTCGGTCTTCGTTATAAGCTGACAGATAAAACACCCTGGAGGAGCTGCACCCAACGCAGGCCATCAGCAAAGAAACTTCAGGTGGGCGTGAGTCATAGCAAACAGTGCCTATAGATAAAGAAGCGGCCATTGGCAAATCTAGGACCCTCTTTAGGTTTGTTGTATCTGTTATTTTAATAAACACATTGCCATCATATCCTAGATATTGTTCACTTGGTGTCCATATTGCTACTGTACTTAATTTTCCTCCACTCTGTAAAAAAATAAAAATAAAAATTGAACAAAGCTATGAGATAAATAGTACATTTAAGACACTGTACAAACTATTCCCTCTCAAACTTTGCATAAATGATACCAGTATCTCCATTAAAAAGTAAAAAAGATTTTCAACTGATGTAATTAGCCTAGCTCCACTAGAGTCAAGTTGCTGTTATGGATTGGGAAGTAGGCGGTCTGGCCTAGTAGTCAGAGCAGAAGTCATGTCTAGTGGGCAGAGCAGGCATCCAGCTTGGGGAATGAAGCCAAGGGTCAGCACCAGAGTCAACTGCCAGATACCAAAGCCAGGGGTCAAGCCAGAGTCAGAACCAGGAATTGAAGCTGAGAGTCAGAGACCAAATGCCAGAGCCATGGGTCAAAGCACAGTCAGGGTCTGAAGTTAGAGGCAGGGCCGGCTCTGGCTTTTTGGCCGCCCCAAGCAAAAAAAAACAAACGGGGTGGCCAGAACGGCAAAGCCAAAAAAAACCCCAAAAACCTCCGGCGCGGCCGGAGCGCGGGTGCAGGGGGACCGGCTGGGGGGGGGGGAGGGAGCAGACGGGAGAGAGAAAGAGAGAAGGGGGCGGCCAGGGCTACAGCAGGGGCGCTGCCATGCGGCCCCTCCCGCTGCGCCGCCTCCTGCTGCGAGGGCTCCACTCCGGTCGGCGGGGAGGGAAGGAAGAGGCCTGTCCTGCAGGGCGCTCTGGTTCTCCGCGCCGCCGCCCCCTACAGGGCAGCTGGAGCGGAACAAGAACAACAACAACAAAAAGCGGCCGTGCCGCCCTAGGATTGGGCAGAATGCCGCCTCCAACAATCTGCCGCCCCAAGCACCAGCTTGCTCAGCTGCTGCCTGGAGCCAGCCCTGGTTAGAGGCTGGGGTCAGAGCCAAAAGTGGTAACTGACGATTGGAGGTAAGACATAAGGGCAGGAACTAGAGGAGAGGCAAGGATCAAGCACAGTGCAGGAGCATGGTGTAAACAGGAGCTAAAGCAGGGGTCAGGCAGTAGCCAGGAGTAGAGCAGGAAAAGGGATGGGTGCCAGAGGCAGGCACAAGCAAGGTCCAAAGCAGCCACAACAGGGAATCACTTTGTTGCTCAGACAAACTTCCTGTGCCTCCTTCTGGCTTAAATAGCATGGTTGGACCAATTGGTGGAGCTGGGTGATCCCCCAATGTTAGTGCCTTGGGTGAGGCTATAGTCCTACTAGCTTCTTGGCCCATCAGATTTCAGAAGACATTAGGTGGAGACCAGCAGGCAGCTGCTGTCTGGGGACTCCTAGGCCTGGGTTCATAGACCTGGGACATCATATTCACAAACTTAAGTCCTCATCCTGGAACTAGCTCCATGTGGGTACTCCTCTGGACCCATGTAGAGCCAACTGTAGCATCAGGTACTTATTTTTAAATGACCTGAAAATTAATTTGTTGCACTCAGTGCACTTCTAATTCCAAACCTATTATTATATCAGGGGACCAGTGGGTTAATCCCCAGGCCTAGTGAAGCACTTTCATATTTCAAAATGTAAAACAAGAATTGTGTGTGACTTACCTGTACTGGATATTCAGATGAACACCAAAGTCTTGACTGTATTCCAGTTATTCCCGTTTCTGGTAGATTGTATTCAGGTCCAAGTTTAAAAAACTGATTGGACTCTCTTTTGTAAACTGTCCCCATTATTAAAAATAAGATTCCATCATCAGTTAAAACAATATCAGTTACTTTGTGACTTAAGTCAAAGTCCAAAATGTGTGATGGAGCTTTGATTTCTTTATAAGTTATAAATCCATCATTTGTATGGAAAGTTCCAAATTCTGACAACAAAAGTGCAGTTGTTGGAAAACATGCAGACCACTCAATGTAGGGCTCACTACCAGCTGGGGAACAGAGGGAATTGTCACTTACATTGTTAGGAAATGGCTCTTCAGGCCTGGAAATGATAAAGGGACTATCTAGAACAAAACAATCCTGAAAAGCTATTGCCTTTCCATGGATATTAGTTATGATGTCATCTAACATTGCAGGTACATTAATTTTCCAGAATCTGAAAATGGAAGAAATGACAGATAAACTGGCAAGAATTAAACTTTATATCAGATTCATTAAGAAAAATAATTCCTGACAAATTTCAGAGTTTGTAGCAACTCCAAAACAATTTATTTCCCATTTCTTTTTAACAATTTCTCTAAACCTTTAACATTTTTCAAGTCACAATATTCTCAGGAACACCCTACAGTCACAGTGTTCAGCACATATGCCAGCAGCTATTAGAGTAGTGGTACTGTTGTTGCTATAGACAAGCTGTGCACTCCTGATCACAATCATTTCTATTTGTAGGGACATACCACTTTTCCAAATTGTTTCCTGCTATTCCCCCATTCTCACCAAATGTAAAATATAAAATTAAAATAAAATTGGGGGTGGAGGGAGGGAGAGAGACCAAAATCTGCCTTCAGTGGGACTTTAACCTGCAACAGCAGCCAGGCCTCTAATGTTCAGTGCTTCAGTAAATGCTGGGAATCACACATCTCTGAATGGTCTCACATAAACGGGCAAGAAATGTACATTCTCTGGGGCTGGGAGCACGAGGACTGGTTATGACATCATGGATTATTGTGGCAACAGCAGATAGAGCCATTATTATAGTCACTTTTGCCATGAACAATAAAAACTGCATTACTTTACAAAATGAGTTTCCTAACTTTAGGTGACACTGATGACACTAGTGGATGAAAAAGGTATGTTATTAATATCAGGATATGAATTATTTGGTCACAAATTCACTTGGTTCAACGTTTAGCTAGTGGTAGAGGTATCCAAACTTCCAGAATTCTATAAAAATAGGGCTGTTTTAATAACGGAGGTGAGATAGTTGAATATGAGAAAAACAGCCAAATTTTGTCTTTAGATATACACATGCAACTGCTATTGATTTCAATGCAAATTGGATGCATGTATTCAAAGGCAAAATTTGGTCCATACAGAAGAAGAAGAATGAAGTAATAAAACTTTCTATGTGGGCATGCATCAGCATTACTGGAGAAACAAACCCTATTACTCTATATGACGAGCGATCTTGTTTTTCCACTCTCTTTTATTTGGTTCTTCATACTACTGCCATATAGAGAAAGAAGAGGTTAAAAATAAGACAGAAAATAGATATTACAACTCACTTCACCATAACAGCAATTTACTAAAACTGCCATCATTTATAACAGGATTTTACCCAATTTGCCAAAAATGCTTCTATTCCTTTGGTTAAGTAAGTGCAAATATTAGAGAAAGCCTTTATCTGACAATAAATTTCTTTGATATAATGATGTGTTGCTATATTGCCACCTAGTGATGAAATGGATGAGATCCAATTGAAAAAGATGTTTGACAGAGATGACAGTAGGCCAAATTCAGTTTCTAACCCAAATGTAACAGGGATGTAAACAGTGGTGTAAGTTACTTGTTGAGTGTAAACTGGTTAGAAAAAGGCAGTAAGATGAAAATTAGTGCAACTTGTTTTAATATGGTATTCAGAGTGTGTAAAAACAACTGCAAATTAAAAGTCAAAGGGACAGATGGGGCGCACGTTTCAGGAATGCAGCTAACAAAAGAGCCCGCTACACTTTAAGACAGAATCGTCCTCAATACTCCTGGGGCCAAATCTAGCCCTGTGGTAAGCCTGTGTAATTCCCACTAACTTCAATGAGCATTTGTGCAGGGCAGAATGTTGTTACCGCAGAGTACCACATTGATGGAAAACACACTTGCTTTGCACATCCACTGAATAAAAAAATCAGTGCAAGTTATTCTCCTTCACCACATATCTATTTTCTGATCAGCTCACACCAACGTATACATTATATTATCATTTACATCCCTGCTGAATTTGGCCCTTAGTGTTTCTGTTATATATTACATAGTTTTGTAAATATTATAGCATTAGAAATTAAAATTAATATGTTGCCAGAAGATGGAGCAAACAGTGAAGAAAGTAGAGAAATCGACAGTTGGAGAGTCCTAGGGTTAAGATTAATATTCCTACTGACAAAAAATTAAATACCAAAAGAAATACTGTAGAAGGGCTTCATTGTCGGTTCAGCACACTGCCACTACACAGAGGGGAATAGAAAGAGGTATGCGATAACCAAGCAGTATCCCTAAAGTATTCTTAACAGTCAGCTATGCCTGGACATATGAATTACCATTATCTGGATGTTCTCATCCACTAGAAATTTTCTATAATGTCAGATTCATCTTTGGGAGAAACTTTATATTACTTTCACAGGGAGACTCAGTGGATTGCTGGAAAGAAGAAACAGCCAAGACATGCTCTGTAGAGTGTGTATTGAGCTAACAATTCTACATGGAGGGATGAGAGAAGATGATGACCTACTCACCACACAGGTTTGCCCTGGTGAGAGGGAATGATCCAAAGTGCTATTTTCAAACAGGACTTGAAAACCAGCCAATAAGAAAAGAAACATAACTTGGAGGAAAGAGAAAAGGAAGGAGTATCTGACTGAGATACTTATTTTTTAAGAAGGTGCTGCATTCAGCAGAGTACCACAAACAGGCTGTGAGCTCCAGGGAAGTGACATGAGTTGGGGGAAGGAAAATTGACCTTTGAAATGCTAACTACCCATAAGATTGATAATTAAGCTTCTCAGCCCATTATAGTGATGTTTTGTGCAATCTTAGGCCCCAGTCCTGCAATACACTGCCCAATGGTGTTCATGCATGTTCAGTGGCGTATTTGTGTAATGAGGTACAGGATTGAGGCCATGGTTTACATGAGAACAAACATATGTTTTGTTTTTAATGTTTCTTCTCTCTTTCTAAAATAATGAACAGTTTCTTATTTAAATGAAATTATAATTTAGATTTAACTGCTAAATTGGCGGGGGAGCATGGGCTGACTAACCATGCTGGGAGATGACAGGCTCTTCCCTCAAGGAAGAAAGGGTATACAGACTCACACACAAAAGCTACCTAAAACTAGAAAATGAGGTCCAGATGGGGCCACGGTCTCTATCCAATGATGTGTCACAACAGCATTAAGTGAGCTTTCATATTTTGGGGAGCTGGGGCACTGTGATCTCACAATGAAAGCCACTGAAAGATGTGCCATATTGTGTAGGCATCTGTGGGCTTCCTTCCCCAGGCAAGGTACATCAGTGGTTACTAGACATTTGGATCAAAGGAATTTGAAAGGCTTTTTCCAGTTGAGTTCTTTGGCACCAAGCCACCAAAGTACTTTGCACCTAGGGAAGAGGTCAGGAGGGCCTATATATAATTCATTGCAGAGGGGCAAGCTCTCCCCCCAGAGTCTAAAATTGAAAGGAGAATTCCCAACAGATTCCCAGAATCCAAAGAGGCTTGGAGGCTACTGCCCTCTTTGCAAATTCCCAATCCCTTCCATACTGACAAGAGTACTAGAAGGACACTCCATTAGGTTCCCTGGAAGTTCTGTTATTTTCCCCATAGGTTTTTCTGCCAGCGTCTACAATATGGCCACTAATTATTTCTGTACTAGTTGGTGTCATTATGATAAACTTTCAGTATCTTTTCCTACAGTATACATTACCAACTAAACTGAGTGTTTTGTAAGATGCTTACATTATAATATATCTACATAGCTATAAATGTGCAATCAGATGGGTGTGTGAAAAATCATTTTAAATGGAATTCTGTTCAGAAAAAATTAAATGAAATACAGTACCCCAACTCTGGAAATGCAGTAGCAAAGTATTTGGTATTTCTAAAATAGGTCTGAACAACAGGTTCCTGTCCCAAATTCCAAAACTGCTTGCTAAGTGTCTTAGAATTCTGTTTAAGTAAAATAAAGGCTGTTAGTTATCATACATTTTTATGTCAATATAGTTTAAGGCTGTATATGAGAAATCTCAGGGTTAAAATACTCTTTAAATAACATTCTAAAGTACACTTCCAAATAAGGGTGCATTATTAAACACATTTACACATTTTATTCACACTAGATTATAGTATATTTGGAACCAAAATTAACTTTCTTCGCAATATTTCCTAAAGTATATATAGCAGGAAATTAAAAAAATAACACACAGAAATCTAATAATAAAAGTTTATAGAAAATAATGAAAATTTTATGTTCTTCTCCAAATTCCAGTACTTCAATTAATAATATAATTTTAATTCTAGTAACTCTGAGGCAAATCAACACATTTATGAAATGAATATTAAAAGATGCCAAAGAGAAGCAATTCAGCATGGCAATTTATAATAAAGTAATAACTCCTAAAGGGCATCTCTTGGTCATGGATGCACACCTCACGTAAGGTATGATGCCAAAGGCTAAATATCATCAATCACCCCACAAAGGCATCAGGAGTGCATACTCTGACAATGTTTACTGCATATACCAATCCTGCAGGCTGATCCATGTGGGAAGAACCTTGTGCTCACATGGATTCCTATTGGGTGCAAGAATCCATCTGCACGTATCAGCTTGTGGGATCAGGGCCAAAATGTACTTCCTTAAATGGTAAAGTCCAGTTCTACTGTTAAATTCAGCTCTATAAAAATGACATAATGGGTTCACTGTATATTATGTCTTGTTACTGCTGTATCATAATTATTTAGACAAAAAGTAAAAAGAGTTTTTTTCTGAGTGTCAGCCATGCAAATTCACTCTAGAATGTGAAAGTCAAGTTTGGATCTTTCCTTCTCACCCACCACCACCAGTAGCAAAACAGCTGTGGGCTAAATTCTGACCCTAACACAAGTGTACTGATGGTAGAATTTAGCTCTGCCACTGGAATTTAGCTAACAATTCTGTTTTTAATGCTGAGATGGAAACAAAACCACCTCACTCCCCCATAGCTGTGTCACCTCTGCAGTATTAACTGGAACAAAAAGCACCAAAAACTTATTTTTGTCACTCCCTTAAGTTGAAATGATTATGGATGCACATAGGCAGCATATCTAATGAATAAGACAGTGCCATTTTTAATTAGTAACTTCTCAGAGTAGACCTGCACTTTCAATACCATGTTTTTAAAAGAAAATATAGAGCTATTTTAACATACCGGTGGAGGAGATGTTGCACTGTGATTCAATTCAGAGGGATCTGCATTTTCTGGATCGTATATCCATAAGATTAACTCCTAGCAAATAAAAAAGTCGAATGATAATATTTTGTTAATAAACACGTTTATATACTGTCACTGTGGTCCGATTTCTTTTGGTGGCTAGATGTATACTAGAATGTAGTAACAATACCATATAAAGAGGCATTAATTTGGACAATGTCAAAATTAAGTCTTGAGCCTGATCTTACTCAGACAAAAGCAAAACTCTCATTGACTTCAGTGGGCAATGGAGACTGAGGGGATCCAGATCCACTCCTCATAGAAAGGGAATTATTTCTTTTCAGTTCTTCTATTCGTCCCACAGCAGTACTTCACATACCATAGTCTCTCTTATTCTACTGGGCCCATGCTACTTTACAATCCTGCTGCACTATGGCAAAAGAGGGATCAGAAATAGGTACTTAACTCTAAAAAGAAACAACAAATTAGTCTCTTAGCAGGGAGATATTAATATGTATCTTTTTCTCCTGCCTCCATGATTGCTATGGGTCTTCAGCCTGACTGTCCTTGGATTTTGCTCCTCAAAGACACAACCATTTCTGATCAACTATGTGATTCATATCAGTCAGCCACGGAGGAACTCAGCCACTCGTGGGGTCCCAGAGTCCGGCCTCCAGCCCGAGCCTGAACATCTACACCACAGTTAAACAGCCCATGAGCCTGAGTCCCACAAGCCTGAGCCAGCTGACATGGGCCAGCTGAGTGTGTATAATTGCAGTGAAGTACCCTTAGGATCTTGGAATCTGCCCCTGAGTAGAGGGGCAGGTTTGGGTAACTGTGTAGCTGCTCTTTCAGAGGCGGCTGAGCACAATACCCCTCATTCCAAGGATATAAGTAGGCTTCCACTGCTGTGGAGTCCAACCAGGCTGTGCCTGTTTGGCAGGCTCCACATACAGATGGAACAGTGTCCGGAATTTGGTCCATAATCAATAAAGGTGAATGTTCTTTTAGTTTCCATATTTTCCCAGCCAAACACAATCTCTCTCACAGAAAAAAAGAAAGAGGGAGGGCATGAGAAATGATTAAATATGTAATTTGTTTATACTAGCTTTGGCAAATTATGTGAAATAACAACACATTTTACAGACTGAATGATAGGCCATAACATTTTATGGTATATTGAAATTTTTATCCAAACTCACTAAAAAAACTCTAGCTTGGGCATGAAACATGCGTTTCACAAAGCTCCAGAAAACACAAATACATAGAAGAATAAAGAAAGGGTTGGCTAAAGTCCACTGACCTTTCCTTCTGACTGGACTAAATTTGTATCAAATCACTATTTTGGAGAAGTGAGAAATAACTTCTGAGTTAAAGTTAGTCAAAACATTAGGCAAAAGATAGCACTTAAAAATTAAATTTACCTGGCTATCATTTTTTGAGGATGGAACGGAGCTATAAAAATAAAATAAAATAAAATAAAACAGTTACTTTTAAGTATAAGTAACAACCACTGCTTTGTAAAAGAAAAGAAAGGTTACTTACCTTACAGTAACTGTAGTTCTTTGAGATGTTCTGTACATTTTGACTCAACTCTTAGCATACATGCACCCCATATGCTGGAGTTCGGAATGTTCTAACCAGCAGTGTCCATTTGGCACTGCACACGTGCCCTGGATGCCCTTGTGCACTCCCCTCCCCAAGCACATAAAGGGCAGAGCATTCCCAACCACCACTCAGTTACTTCACTGCATAGAATCCCAGTTAAAAACTCAGAGCTACAGAGATGAAGGGTGGATCATGGTGTGACGTTATTGACATGAACTGTGACTGTATAGATCATTGTTGCAACCAGGGTCCTATGGTTCACCAGGTCTTGTACAGAGGAGGTCAAGTGGGGTGTATATGGAAAGGTTGTAGTTTGCTGGTTATGATTATGCTGTCTGTATGTGTGTATCATTTTTGTATCTGAAGTTATGAATATTGGCTATGTACTTGTATCCCAATGTGTTTGATTCTAAGTAGCCTCAGTGAAACATTTGGTCAGCTTCTTGAGAAAGGACTATTCTCAGTAAGTGCCCGATCAAGAAACACTTAACTGACAATGGACTTTGGGAGATGCCAATCCACATCTGAGCTTTCCTGGGAATGTTCAAACTAACATGTAAACAATGGCGTCGGCCTGCAAAAAGCTGAATCATTCATGGACATGTGACTTGCCCAGGTGGCTACAAACTCCATCTTGTTGCTGTGACTTTGCACAGAAGAACAAAGGGGTTTCCGCCCACAAGAGAGAGAATATAAAGGGCCCTGGAAGCACTATGGGGCCAAGGGTCTCAGAGCCCAAGCTTCAGCCAGAGTAGGAACATCTACACTGCTATTTTTAGCCCCATTGTGTGAGCCCAAGTCAGTTAGTCCAGGCTCTGAGGCATGCTGACACGGGTTTGGTTTTTTTTGCAGTTTAATCATACTCATAATTACTCTGTCTGTATGGAAGACTATCTATAGAGGACCAGCAATCAGAGCCTGAATTTCATACAATTTCCATGCATAAGTGATTGTCATTGGGAACACCACAGTGATGGTCAGGTGATTAAGTGAACACGATGGCATGGGTTCAAACAGCCAACCAATCAACTAGGTAAGTACTTAACTCAGATCCCAAGTATGAAAACTTTCCGTATCAGGTGTGAAAATGTGTAATAACCCCTCCAGGAACCTGTGAGCAACAGTGTGTGAAAAGACACAGTAATTTTGGATGGGTTGGTGATAAGCAGATATTGCTGTTAAATGCACTTAAATCGAGCTACCCGATTGTCCTGAATGCTTTAAAGATATAATCCAATATATCAGGAATTGAAGATCCTAATGGGCTAAGCTGTCATTGAGCTGCCCAAGAGAAAAAATGTTTCCATTTTGCACCATATTTGTGCCAAGTGGAGGGCTTTCTGCTCTGTAAAAGCAAATCTCAGACCTGTGCAGAGCAACTTCTGTCGACTGATGTTAGCCATGCAACAGCCATGCTGTCAGATGTAGAGGCAACAGGTCTGCATGAAGGACTAGACCATGATTTTGTGAGACTATATCTGGCAGAGATAGAAATGTTATCCACGGTTAGTTCAGGAGAGGTAGAAGTTCTGAATAACAAAATTGGTGTGGCTATGTTGGAGCTATTAAAATCAGACATGTCTTGTCTTGCCTCACTTTTCAAAGGATCCTTGGACTAAACGGAAGTAGTGAGAAGGCATACACTCATGGAAAAGTGTTGGATCTAGACCTCAGACTCATTGCCCCTTGAGAGCAAAAGTTGCGAGACTTCCTGTTTTCCCTGGTCACAAACAGATCTAGCCATAAGACTACTAATTTTTGAAAGAACTGATGCCAAATGAAGTCTTTTAGGGACCACTCAGACATTAGCATCACTCTTTTGGTCAGATGATCTGCCAAATAGTTGTTATCCCCTGGAATACATAAAGGCTGACTTGATACTGAATACACCATTCCCGTAGAAATAAATCATCATCTAGTAAATAAGAAAAGCATAGTTCACCATTTTCTAACATAATAAAAACTAAAAGTTAAGAATCTGAATAAATGTAAGTTAAGATACACAATTGCTTAAATAAATGTGTACAAATATAGTATCTTCCTGTGACAGTTTCTCAATATGTGCAGGACTGTGGGTGATTTTGTTACCCCCTAGCTCCAGCAGGAGAGTCTATCTTGTGGTAGCTGGGTGTCAGCTCCAGTACAACATCAACCTTTCAAGCACACAAGCACTCTCCTCAGGACTCTGCCAGTCCAATCCTTGCCTTGCAGGTTAACATTAGGTGGACCTCAATTTTTTGGGCTTCCTTGAAAAGCATTCCTCTCCCGTATCCTGCCTGTCACTGGATACCACAGAAATTACCAAGTCCGCTGTCTCCAAAGAGACAGTATGCACACCATCCTGTTAGCTCAGCTGAGGACAAACACTTTACTTTAGTATTACAGCACTGAGATGAATTTATAGCAAAACCAAGAATAAGTTTTATTAATAAATAACAAAGATTTAAGTGATACTAAGCAAAAATAATAGAAACAGAAATGGTTACAAATAAAACAAAAGTATAATACACTTATAAGAGACTACATATGACCTTATCAGGCTCCAGTCTTTGTCTAAAGCACTTTTGCTCACCCATAGCCACTTCTCAGTGTCACTAACTCACGTGACTGGGGATTCACCGTTTATGCATGCAAATAGTGCTGACCTCTTTGTTCCCTCAGTTACGGATAACTAAAATGTCTTTTTGCTTCTTCTTATACATCCTGAAATTTATCATCTTTGGCCTTGGCAGCGCTGTGAAGCGCGAGTGTAGTCGCGCCGCCAGCGCTGCAAGTACTCCACCTCTCCGAGGGGAATAGCTTGCAGCGCTGCGAGCGAGCGTGCAGCGCTCCAGGCGCTGATTACACTCGCGCTTTACAGCGCCGCCCGCGGTGCGGGGGGGGGGGGGAGGGGATTTCACACCCCTGAGCGCAGCAAGTGCAGCGCTCTGAATTGCCAGTGTAGCCAAGGCCTTTGTCACCAGAGTCAGGATGAAGCCCTGGGGTTCAGAATCCAGTAACTTCCCATGCTCATTTCACATTCACATGTTAATTTGTTCCTCCTCCTTACCTGTGATGCAAATAAACTGTCAATTGTCTCTGGCATCATCATGCTCAATTTACATTACAGAAAGGGAGATAACTATCTTCCCTCCCGTCTGGAAGAAAACCTGTTCCCCCCTTTGTTTGGGTACAGACGTTAACGCATACTATCTGTAAGTATCCATAATTCCTCTGTTAATACATACATTTCACAATGCCATTAATGACCAGTTTGTGACCCGTTTTCATTTGATATCTCACACCACATTTTTATACGTAAATATAATGACAGCAATATGTTAGGCATAGTAAATTTGTCAGGCTTGATAGGAACTGCTGTTACATGACAATGAACCCTTTGCTAGTGGGCATTTAGGGGCTGTTAGGGTCACACCTCCTGGTTAGAAAATAGAAGTACCAAATATAGTGTAAAAGTTATTATTTATTATTATTAGTTATTACATCCTTCTCACGCCAGTACTGGTGCACAGGGCTGAAACTAGTCTCTTCCATCCTTCTCTCATGTACTGCTGCTTCCATCTGTTCAATGTTGTTCAGAATGACTGTTCTGCCCTCCCTGCTAAGGGTTCTTCTTCAAGTTTCTCTTGGGGGCCCATGTTTCCTCACACCAGTTGGTTTCTACTTGACAGCTTCATGTGGGAGTCTGTGTGTTGGCATCCAGAGTACATGTCCCAAATATGTCCAACACTTCTTTCTAATTCTAGTGGAGATTAAGTTATATTTAGTTGCAAATCAACTTTTAGCCAATGAGAATCAACCTTTCTTTAGGAAAATAACTAAAAAGTACAAATGCAAAAAAAGATTAAATTGATTATTTAAATCAAAGTTTCCTGCTTGCTGATTTAAATATTATTAAAATAGGTGATTTAAGTCACTTTGATTTAAATCAGTCCAACTTGTGTGGCAGTCATAACCAAAGTACCTGGGGTAGGAGGAGTATAAAAATACTAATACCTTTTGGATGGGACTTGATATCTGTTGTCCTCTCTCTTAAATATTGCAGAGAGTGACACAGGTATAGCCCACAGATTTTTGGTCAAGTCCAAAATACCTTCATTTATTGACATTGCAACACAACCCTGAGGTACTGGCTGAAGAATATAAAAAAAAAGTATAAGATTTCCCTCAATCACCTCAAGAGGAATCTCAAGCATCTCTGTCATCCTCTTCAAAAGGTCTCAGAATACTCTAAAGTCATCCTCTGTTATCTGGTCCCCTCTTCTGGTTTGGTGCTCCTCTTCCTCTGTTAAAATGTCCTACTTGCAAGGCAAGTGTGGAGCTCTGTGAGTCTGTGCAGATGGTGACTTGTCCCTTGATCTTGCATGAGGAACTTCCAAAGGGGGTGGATACTGAAATTGTGGGGTCCAGGAAGGCCAGAACAACTACAACTGGAAATCACAAAGGTATGGCATTTAATGTCAAGGAAGTGGCATCCACGGAACATGAGAAGCATCTGTAGCATGTCCTGTATATTGGTCAGATTAAGAACTTCTCTTGTGGTGATCTCGAACTCTTGAATAGTTAGAAGAGTATGGCTGTAACCTTGGAAAAGTACTCTTGCTAGAGGCAACAGATGAAGAGCAGACTTGTTCAACCGGAGGTGCAGTTCCCCTCAGAATCACTGGAATCTGAGGAGGGCTGACAGGCTTCCCCTGAGATGAAGATAGATGGAGGGAAATTTTCATAACCAATGCCGTAGGCTCCAGTATCCGGGACGATCTTGAAATATCTGAGAAGGCAGATGCATTCAAGGGTGACTCTGGTTCCGAGGTGATTCTAAGTTCTGACAAATTAGTGAATGCTAT